TCAAAATTCCTTGCTGTAGTATGGATACGAATTCTGTAAGTCCACTGCCACCACCAGAAGCACCGCTGGCTATGATGGAAGTCGAAAAAACGCCACCGGGGACACCAACAACAAATGATATGCCACCGCCACCGGATGAAGAAAAGTAAGTGGAAATAATCAATTATCTACTTGAAGCTAATAAAAGAAGACAGTGACAGTTGGGGGGAGAATAATTGAACAGTAAGAAAACTAAAATGAATGTGTGTACAAAAGGGGAGAAATAAAAACGAAAATATCAGCAAAAGAAAAAACTTTTTACTAAGGAAATAAAATAAAATTAAAGAACAAATTAAATGCAATGAAATACAAGAAATTTTTAAGCAAAAAAAAAAACACCGACCACAATGCCCTTATAAAAAGCGGTAAGAGCACCGTTAGTTTCTTCATGGTCCATTGATCGGAACTAAACCAAATTAGTTCAGGAACACCCTTGAGGTACCACCTCTCCGATAAGAGAGAAGTATCGAAAAAGGTGGACGTGGTGCGGTATCGTGTAATCGAAATAATTAAAAATTTCCGACGAATTAATAACATACGCCTTTTTTTAAGTCGGAAAAAATTTATGCTTTGGTTTATACTAAAATGTAGCAAGATTTTGCTCTCTCCTTAGTTTTTGTTCAAAGATTGCAATGCAAACGATTACTTTTTTGATAAGACATTATAAAACAACACGGAATTTTCGTAGGAAAACTTTCCACATACATACATATAAACGTACCCGCATGTACATAAGTGAAAATAATTTTTTTTTAAGTGGCAGTTGTCAAATCCATTTAAATTTCTAGCAAGTACATATCTACACATACGACGCGCGTACACATATATATGCGCGCGGTTTCCTTGGCACGTACATAAGAGCAAACTTAGCATTCACTTAAGTACTCATCCATGTACTTAAAGAATTTGACGTTGCTTATTTATTTAAGAATTTAGTCCAGCAACTTGGTAACCATTCATTTCCTGAGCCGAATTAAGGTAGCTTCTCTTTAGTGTGGAATTTCGCACGGATAAGCAAGAGATATGCGGTCAAAGCTACAAATGAACATGCATGCTTTTTGACATTTGCATATTTTTATACAACACAGCTAATGTACTTTAACCACTCAAGCACAAGTGCTCTTAAATTTAATTAAATGCGACTGCCTTGAGACAATATGAACCTGTGAAGTGTCACTGTAACACCACGAGATTAGCGCTGATAGCTGTATAAAGTCAAAGGCATTTTGGAAAACTGTGAACATTGCTCATTTATTAGTTAAATCGTAATCGTAGATACGCGCATACGTATAACCATATCACAAAAACAAATCGTAGTCCGATAATTTGCTTTAAATGGATGCTTCATACATACATCATACCTTGTATGCACATTAGGGCGGTCGTTAAATGTAGGGAGCAAATTTCCTCAGCCTCAACCCCTACGTCGATGCTACTATAGTCGTAGATATCACATATAAATTTTGGCACCGACTGAAGTCGGTTAAGGCGTGTCGCACAGGGGTCAAAGTTCAGATAACTTTGATATCTTCGACTATGGTAGTATCGATTTTGGGTATTAGATAGAAAAAAATATTTTAATATTTTGAGTCTCCATAGAGGAATCTGAACTTGGCCTCCTGTGCGACACTCCTTAACCGTCTACAATCGGGACCAAAATTTATATGTGATATCTATGACAGTGGTGTTACCGATTGACGGGGTGAGGGTGAAAAAAATCGTTCATATGATTTTTTAAGGACCACCCTAATGCACATACATATATATACTACATATGCCCACCCACATTTGTACATCAGTTTATGTAAATAATTACATTAGGATGCTACTTCCTCAAGCTAATCATATAATTGGGTCAATTTTATCTATCACACCAAAATATGTATTTACTTTCATTTCCGTGCCATTGGTGCGCTAGTCGCATTAATAAAGCTTTCATTTTTGAATTAAACCTTGCGACAGTAAATTTAAAAAAAAAAACTATAATCGGTAAACTGTGGACCAAGTATAGTAATAGTTCATTTCCACCAAGCCTTAACTGTACTTTATGCCTATTGAATAAAGGAGAGTGTAGTTGCTCATATTAATTAGAACAAAAGAAAGTAAAACAGCAAAAAGTAAGAAATAAACTTTGCCAATCACTGCTTGTTCGAATTATTGGAACTTAGCTCAGCTCTTAACTTTAGTTAAGTTTTTGGTGGAAATGAGCTATTAAACTTTCTCTGTGACATCAGGATTTTGTTTTAAAAGGACTTGGAAATTTCAAACATATGATTGAGTCCAAAATTTTGCAAAAAAATATTCTGTACAACGTAGAACAACAATATGGGTATCAAACTAAATAGAAAATTCTGCCACAATAAAATAATTCTTCAAATAAAATGGACTCAGGCTAACTGTTTAATAAAATTTATTAGGCAAAAAAAAAACAAAATAAAATGTATAACATTCTTTGCTGGATAACGCTGGTTTTGAAAATGTCCTTTTAAAATTTTTCTTTGAATATCCTTGAAAATTTGCAATATTTATTTTTGAAAAAATTATGTGTTAAGGACTACTATACATACCACTACGTCCTTGTAACTTTATTAGGTAAAGAAAATAGAATAAATAAAGTGCTTTTCTATACATATTCGTCCTTGTGAACCAAAAAACTATTTTTTTTAATTCTTTTCTTTCTTTTGGCTCCTATTGTACATTAGAGACTCAATTTTTCTGTATTTGGCCCATTGTGTTTTGTAGTATGGAGTCTATATCATGGGATTTCACTACGTCCACGGGTGTCTTTTGATTTTGGCGTCAGTGCAGGACAGCTTTCCAAGATGTGCTGTGCAGTTTCGTTATCAGTAAAGCAAAGTCTGCATCGCTCCTGTGAATAAATTGCCAGTTTATGTCAGGTTATAGTTCAGCCTGTAGTCTTTTTGGCTATATGATCCTAAAAAGTATTTAGCACTGCTCTAGATCTGGTAAATTGTCCCAGTAGCGATTTCTCTGAGCTTTTCCTTCAGCCGGGCCTGGGCAGAGGGACTCTGGGCCGACGAAATGGGTTGATGCTCCTTTCTTCGTAATTTTAACAGCAATCTCGTTTTATTCAATACCAATATGTCTCAGAATCCAGGGTACTCAAGCCCGGTTGGCCAGATCAAGAATATTGAGCTTATCAAGGTACTCAAGCAACAGTTTAGATGTTACCTGCTCAGATTTGAGGACTTTAATAGCCGCTTGGCTGCCAATCAAGATTGCAATGGTCTGTTTGCGGTAGTTTCACTCAATATTAAAGCCCACGCATCTTTCTATAGCATATGATTCCGCCTGGAAAATGAACCTGTGCTTTACGAAAGGTTCCGAGTACACTTATCCAAGTACCATCTTCAGTCAATAAGAAATCAGTGTACCAGGTCATCATGTTTTGTTTCATCCGATATGTCTTGGATTTGTTTGTTAAACCTCTTTGTAAATCTGATCTGTGGATGTATGGTATTGCTATTTCAGGGCACTTCTTCGAAAGTATATCAATCTGCTTACGACTAAAAAAATCTGCTGCCCTGATATTGGTACTAGTCATCCTCGGTAGGGCTCTGTTTGCCTGAGTCTATATGTGAATATAAAGGGAGGTTAGATCTAAAAGAACTTCCAAGGATGCGGTTGGACAAGTTTTCATGGCGCCAGTTATGTATTTATATGCATGCCAGCCTTTGTATCTTGGTGAGCGCTTTGATTTCCCAAAGTTGTTCAGTTCTTCGACCCAGATGTTCCCTCCTTTAGCAATACTGGGTCGTACTATGGCTGTATAGATCCATCGCATCTTCAGCTCTTAGCTGCCATGGACTTACACGTCATAAAGGTTCGTACAGCTTTCTTCGAAGTTTCATCTACGTGTGCTTTCCAGAGTAGTTTTTGGCCTAGTATTATCCCTAGAAATTAAACTTCTTTTGGTGTATAATATTGGTGCTATCTGGCCTTATAGTTTTCAGATTACATATTAAGTAAATATTTCCTTGATAACAGTACAATGGTGGTATTTTCTGGATTTACATTCAGCCCCACCATAGCACATACTTTTTTTTTTGTTACATTCAGCCCTAGCTGGATTCTATGACACAGGGTGCTTTGAAATTTTCCCCTGCATATTATTACGATATCTTCAGCGTACCCCTGCCAAGTTAACCCAATATTTATTAGCTATAAAAGCGGTCCGTCGGCAACAATATTCCATAGTATTGGAGATAAAACTGTACCTCGTTGTTCCGTCCACAACGACATTATTCGTACAGGCATGTATTTACACCTTTCCGGTACTGAGCATGCAGTTTATCCAGGCTACGGGGGTATTGTTTACCCCCCTGCTGTTTATTACAGCAGGCGAGGTGTTGTCAATGGAATTGATTAGACAAGGATTCGAGACATGAGGTTCTTAACAGTAGTAAGAGTTTATATTTTTTGAATTGTGTCGTTATTGCAGATGACCATCAGTGGATTCATTTGAACGATATTCTGGTCACACGACTCACTTAACCAATGTACAGACAAATTTTCCACCCTCTGAAATGCACATCTGTGCTCTTCAGTTTCCTTATTAGAACTATTATTGGCTTACATGACGCATCCGACCAATGCTGTAGTTGCGAGATCATGAAAGAAGGTTACGCATGGTTGGCAGAGATCTCACAGGTGGAAATGAGACCATAAATAAAGCCCATGGCATTGAAAGGGATTAGTATTCCATGCGGTATCACAGCGTTACTATTCTTAGCGTATATGGGAGGACGGTTCTACTCTGTAGTCGTTTAACCTAAACTAAGAGTTTTTACTTTACAAACCGTTTTTGCTTTTCAACGCAATTTTTGTATTGGCCAACGCAAAAGTTCTTATCAGGCGCTGCGAAGCAAGGAGGTACTGCCTAGTTTATACATATTGCATATACACGTATAGTATATCTCCTCAGATTGTACACTCGTTAACGGTATCAACATACAAACCCACAAAACATCGAAATAAATGCGTTAATTTTTTTTTCAGTTTTAAGCCAAACGTACTAAAATCTAGCTCGCAATAGTTAGTGGTATATGTATGTATTTTTCAGCTTACGATTCGCGAACTTCCTTT